CCACAGGAACGTTGCTGCAAGACAGGCATATGTAACGACGACTTAGCGCTCTTAAACGCGTGTGTCATTAAATACAGTCCTCCTGACAACAGGCCAGTGAAAAATCTAACAATCTACAGCAAAACCATCAATTATTATGGGCGTTATAACATACGTGTGCAGCTGGACGAAACATACACGTCGAACCCCCCCAGACGATTTAAATCCCTGACGAAACATACACGACGAACCACGGCAACGGGTTAAGGCACATTTTAATATTATCCTCTATCCAGGTCATTCTAGTGGTTTCTTTTCCTCATTTTTTCCCATACATGTTACATGCCTATCCCACCTTCCTTGATTGGATCAAGCCTAAGCCAAGGTGTAAGGCATCATGCCACCAGGGCAAATAGCAACCAGTCACGAGAACGACCCCTGGAGGTACCAAGTAGCATCCTGTTGCATGTACACCTTCCACACAGATGGGACTGTGCAGGTGGTGAATTCTGATATCTCTTTCCTCATAGGACCCACTTATGGATATCAGGAACATGGGAACAGGCTGCAGACTCAAAAACAAGGAGGGACTCCCCTGTGGAGAGGCTCCTACAACAAGAAACAAAAGAGACTGTGACTCTTCGGCAGGAGACTGCAAGGTGCATCACTATGAGGTGCTGGCAACCAGCAAACTAGTGGCTGATGATTCAGCCAAGGGACACCCCAGCTATAATATCAACGACTTCTCTCCCTGAAGCTAGCAGTTCTGGCACACCTATAAAAGAGTTGACACTCAACCTCAGAAGCAACCAGGCTCCACCTAGTGAAGACAAAACTGTATGGATGCCCCAGGCAGAAGCCTGCAATAAGTTAGGACAGGCCAAGTAAGAAATAGGGGCATTTAGAAGCTGCTGAATGCCCAAGCATGGAGAAATCCTAACCAGGACTCCTAGGAGGATAAGGCCTGAGGGTAGCACCCCCACAGAATGGGACTCTAGGGAACCAAGGGCTTATAAGGGGGTTCTGAGCAACATTAAGACAGTTCTTGTCATCATCATCATCACATCGGCAGCAAAACAGCCACTTTTGAGCCATAGCCTTCCTTTGAAGATTCTGCCAGGTTTGTCATTACAACATCTTTTTAGAGCTAGATCATCAGCCTTCTGCCCAACCCAAAATCTGGAGGACTAGGTCTCTGTATTTATGCTCCTCAGTGAGAGGGGGGCCCAATTATACCCCTGGCACTGGGTTCCCTCTCCATCACCTTGTCCAATTCAAAGGGCTATGGTCACACCTCCACACAGAATATAGCCATACTTAAAATTATCCCAAGGACAACCTGACCAATAGATGAACAACACCTCATCCTTGAAGAACTATGAAATGAGTTTCGTGGGACTCTCAAAGGGGAACTACCACACCCAAGGTCATTCAGGCTGGAGGAAGGAACACTCACAGATGCATGCACTGATCAGCAGCCTAGTCAGTGAATCACTGAAGTCTCTGACAATCTCAGGATTGGCATCAGGGAACAGACTGAAAGCACTGGATGCTAGGAACCTCCTTAAGCCGGTCAAGATGGCTCTCAGGATGAAGTTCAACATTGTCAAAAAGTCTGGATGAGCTACTGACATGCCATAAGGACCTACAGCCTCAAGACCTCTGCTTACTGCCTGCTTCATGCTGGTTTGTTACTTGGTTTACTCTTCAACCCTGGGGATCGATGCAACAAGTTCCTCTGAAACAGTGGCTGACTTTCACTGGATAACACAGTGTTATATTCCAAAACGGAGCAGTCTTCATATTTAAGGTAGTTAAAAAAGAAAGAAAGAAAACACCAGACTCAACATCATATGGCCTTCACAGGCACTAAAAAATTAATGAATTTTGGTAAGGCATACCTTAAGTTAAAAGAAAGAACATTCACAGGCTAACAGAGACAGAGACAAAAAAAAACATTTACAGGCCAATACAGACAGAGACAAAAGATAACACCAAATAAATGACAATCTATGCATACAGCAGTGTTTTAGCGGGACCTAAAGGCAAAGACACACTGTGTGGACAAGACATCTGGTGTTATTCTTTCCCATGCATTCATGGCTCTTACTCTGGTGGTTCACCTATTTTACTTAAAATGGCGCAAGAAGGTAACCATTACCCTAAGAACATCTTCTGCCAATGAGCCACGCCCTGGACCCATTTCCACCAGCTGAAGTGGTATCGGTGACCCCATTTTCTGCCATTCATTGAAACACCATACTGCAACCATCTGAAACAAAGGAAGAATCTCATTATGAACAGTAAATTGAGTTCTTATAAAACTGAATAGAACTTTCACCTGCCAAGTCAGCTCAAGTAGCAATGATTCCAACTTGTATCTGGAGATGCCTCCTTTGAATTTTGGCTGGGAATATGACTAATCACAATGAGGATTTTCATATTTTCCTCAGTCCCTCCTTTCCAATTCATTATTCATTAATCATCATATAATTCAATGCTCTACAGTCTGAGTAATTGATGGCATTGTTAAGTGAATTACATATAAACCTTTCAAGACAGGCCTAAAACAATCTGATTTCAAACCAGATGTCCCTGAATTCTGGACTCTGAGATGAGTATCAGATAGTAATGTTTAGGTTCACATATTTAAACTGGATGGCCAGGTTTAGGCTCCTGACAGTGACGCTCAGAACTTCTCACTTATCACCATGGCAGAACTGTTCTTAAGTCAACATATATCACTCAATTTTTCATAGTCATGCAGCCTAAAGAGAACCAAAGAAAGGAGAGACCATAGTGCAGTAATGACTATGGTGTATCATGACTAAAACTGCATAAACATAACATTACCACTAACACACAGCGAGGTGAACTAAGCTTCACCATCCCATGCTCCCATTCCAATGAGTGTGCACTTACTGTGATCAATAATTGCATTGCCATTACTTGATACTTTCATGCAATGCAAGCATCAAGTGGTATCCTGACCATGACAAAATAAATGACATGATAGGATTAATGTGGAAGGTGCAAGTAATCACCTCGCATAAGGCAAATGGCATGACTGAGCTACATGAGCACACCAGTCCCTACTTACAAGAAACATTATATGAATACTACAAATACAGTACTAACATTTCTTGGAAAGTTGCATCGCGTTACTTCGTGAAACCAATGAAATGTGCTGAAAAATAGAATTCTTTTACATAAGCTTACATCTGGCACCTGCGGCAGTTATTAGTGTATTAAAAATTTCAACACATGAAACTATTAGTAATTTTCAAAATGCAGAACTGTGGTATTCTGAAACATTTACTTCTCCAAAAAGTTGTCCCAATTCTGGTGAAGTTATGAAGTCTCCAGTTTCTCCGATTACATCTCGATGCATGTAATACCCCGATACGGGATTTGTTAGAACTTCTTTCATATATTCAGCTACTGTGATAGGCCCCATAGCTTTAATCTTTGCTTGTAGCTGTCGGGCCAAAGAAACAGATTCTTTCTTAGTCTTGCTCGGCGGTACACATCTTGCACTACGATCATGTTCTCCTGCAACACACACGGCACAAACGGCAAAGTCCCTCAAAATTCAGAGATGAAATAATTAGAATGGGTTATAGAACCAACAAATATTGTACAGCCATACATAATCCACACTAAAACGCAATACGATTATTAATGTACCATTATTAATAAATTTAAACGATGTCTTCCGATATTTTAAATTTAAAAATGCTGGTGTACTCTGTAACTTTTTGAAAACTGAAAGCATTAGGAGAATTTCACAGATACACTACCATTTCAACTACGGCATTAAATTACATGAACCTACTTTCGCCGTTATACCTAATACCGGTCATACCGGTAGTCACGTCCACGGTTCACTATTTCATTGGCATTATCATCACTGGGGAAGGTGCCTTTTTCGAGCCATAGTGGCCAATTTCCCTATTGTGCCTACAAACTTCCCTATCCACCTGCTGATCTATCCTAACTATCCTATAAATATGGGTGGAATCATTTACGTATTTGTAGATTATTTGACGATTCTTTCAGGTTATACAGCGACAATTAACAGGAGGACAGTGAATTGGAAAGCTATAACGAAGAAATCGCGGACTAGTTTAAATTGCGACAGCGGCATTTACCTACGAGGTCACGATAGTCACGATGTTGAGAGCACTGCTATCACTGGTCAATGTAGTTATAATGAAGACCTTCGTTTTCTCTCTTCTGTTTCTTACAAAGAATTATCAGACCTTACTCTATCTCTCGGTTTGATTATTTTCTCACTCACTCACTCATGTAGCTCTGGAAGAGCCGCCAATTCTGCAGCTACTCAAGAATTTCCCAGCATTTTATGGAACCCGAAGCTTCGTCACCGTGTTCACAAGAGTCCTCCACTGGTCCCTATCCTGAGCCAGATCTATCCAATCCATACCATCCCATCCTATCTCTTTAAGATCCATTCTAATATTGTCCACCCGCCTACGCCTTGGTCTTCCCTGTGGTCTCTTTCCTTCTAGCTTTCCCACCAATATCCTATACGCATTCCTCGTCTCCCCATTCGTGCTATACGACCTGCCCACCTCATCCTCCTTGACTTGATCATTCTAATTATACTTGGAGAAGAGTACAAGTTATGAAGTTCCTCATTATGCAGTTTTCTCCAACTCCCTGTGACGTTCGATTATTTTAGATATTGGAATTATTCGATGATTTCGAGAAATCGAACTATGCGATAGAGGCCTAGATCGGCCTAGATCGCCTAGATAAATTTGATGGGTAGTTGAGTGTAAGTAAGTGGGTGATATGTTTTTATAATGAAGTAGGACACATTTCCGATACAGTTGTATAAGATCAGATAAACGTTTCGAACCTGAATATATGTAACACTTGAACAATTTATTAAGGTGTACCATATCACGATTCGTTCATTCATTCTTTTATTAATCCTGTAGATCATGATACAATGATATGGGACAAGTCTTTCAGCTAATATACATTAATAAGTTATAACAATCGTAATACAAAAAAATTATATAAGATATACAATATTTTATACATTATCTACTATATACTTCTGCTTATATCAGTGGTGAATATTCGCGAAATCATCGTTCAAATAGTCCTCCGTTGAGTAATAGCACCTCATAATAAGTAACTTCAGTTCCCTTATGAACTGGTTTTTGTTTTCTATTTATTTTATGTTGTTAGGCAATTTGTTGTAAAAGATGCAGCCAGCTACTGAAGGATTACTATTATAAAGTTCTAAGTTGTGCCCATATATGGTAGTCTTTATTATTTGTTATATGTATGTATTTGTTCATTCACTGTGCAGTTACTTTTTTTTACATATAGGATTGTTTCTTGTATGTATAGTGAGTATAGTATTAGTATCTTTAAATTTCTAAAGCTATTCCTGCATGATTCCAGATGTTTTAGCCCAGCAATGTATCTTACTGCCCTTTTTTGGAGTACAAAAATTCTAGTGAGGGTCTTAGCACTATGTCCCCATGCTATTATTCCATATGATAGATGAGGATAGATCAATCTGTAATACAACGTTCTTCTTTCATTTAAATTGAGTATTTTAGATAGCCTGTTAATTATGAATTGGTTATGGCTAATTCTACTGCAGGTTTTTTCAATATGTAATTTCCAACACAAGGTACTATCTATTACTACCCCCAGAAAATTAGTGCTTTTTACATTTGATATTTCCCTGTTCTTTATTAGTATTTTTAGATTACTTTCCTGCCTGCATTGTTATGTTATGAATTTGTATATGGAAATGGTGCAAGAGGGAAATCTTGTAGGCAGATTTCATGTTTAGCCAAGCATAATTCAGCCAAGACCTTTAAAATGCGAGCAATTAGGTATATTTACATATTAGGATAAATTGCACTATAATGAAGAATAATTTCAGGTTGCAGTCTAGTAGTACTGCTCCATATTACCGAGGCCACATGTTCAGAACTTGGCCCAGCATTCAGCTTAACTGACGGTTTTCTGCAGTCCATGCCAGCAAATTCCGGTATAAAACCACAAAATAGGTCATGGCCATTTCCTTCCAATGCATATATCAGCTCTTGACACCATAATTTGAACTGATAGACATTAAATGAGCCATTACAAAAATAAATTTCAGAATTGCATATGTGCTACTTTCAGAATTCATGGGAAACAGTTTCTTACATACTTCTTTGAAGTACAATATTCATTGATCAGTTTTTTTTTATAGGTGTCTTTAAGTAATTGTTACAGATGCCTGTATCATTTTATATTGTATTGGAAATTTTAAGAGTTTCATTTGATTTAAATGTTTATTCTTTAACAGGGTGAAAATGAGGTACCAGATTCAGTACTTACATAAATACAGGCAAGTCTGCCAACATCTGAAGATACCCTGCACAAATAACTATTCCACTGAGGTGAACTCTGAAACAAAGCCTGAACCAAAGTCATGGAGGAAACGTTGGGATCAGAAAGAGGGAGAATGGTACAGCAGGTTCAAGCTCTTTGCACCTGAGAAAGGTGAAAGCCCTGATGTGGTAAGGGCTCTACAGAGCACATCAAACTTTAGTATAAAAGCAGTTCGCAAGTGGATACAAAAATCCAAGAGAGAAGCTGAAATACTGGACATGAGGTATATACCAGAACGTCATCAAATATTGGGTAGTGATCTAGCAGCTGCTCACTTCTTAGTTCATAGAGGTGCTGCTGTGAGATTCGTAGGCTCCTCGGAGTGGATAAAACGACATGAAGATCAATACGATCTTCCAGATAGATATAACCGTGACTATGCAATAGAGGCTATTGATGTGTTAGACATGAAACTGTATTATGAAGGTTTCCAGAACATGACCAATTTAAGAAGTTTACGGTGGCTTAGCCTACGAAACTGTCTTCAGATTGATGATTGGTGTCTCGATAGAATTAGTAGTGAATATGAGTCGTCTTTGGAATATCTGGATATTAGCAACTGTACGCGGGTAACAGATCGTGGGATTTGTGCATTGTATCGAATGAACAAACTCCGTACACTCAAGGTACACAATATTGCAGATAGTCAGCTGTTCCAACTTGCTTGCTTGATGCTGGAAGACATCAATCCTCAATTGAATACTGAAGGTGTTAAGTATTTAGATATAGGAAATTGAGGTGATTTCTTACAAGAAAATTATGAGCAGTTGTAACTAGTTACATAGTGTGACCATGCGAGAACTTCCCAAAAATCAGTTTGCCTCTCAGGCAGAAGAGACTGGTGCTCCATGTGTCAACTCATGTCACAGATTTGAACTGGTAACGGACTCTGCAAACCAAGAGCCTAAACACATTACAATTTCTCTTCAATATTAACCGAATAAATCACTGAACAGGTGTCATAAGCACCACCTCTCTTCCACCTGAGCAGCTGAACATTTAGGAAGCACTGAGATGGTTGGACTTGATAAAGTTGTATTTCTTGTCAGGTGGAAATAAGCTGGCACTGGAACTGTACTTACCCAGATGTGTTCCTGAGGAAAATAGCTGTTTAGTTATCTGAACTTTTTATCATCCAGTATTGACAGTAGGTATCCTGTGTGGCCTAGAATTCTAGTGGAAAACATCTGTAAATGGAACTTTTATGTTAATAATAAAGTAACATGCGTAGTATTCAATTTATTGAGAGGCATGGATTTCCATGTTTCTAACAAACTTATATTTCATATTCATATTCTTTGGTGGAAAAGGACACTGTCTGGAAGAAAAGTCATAGACGTGTTGCAGATTCATTCATTATTCATTATTGGAGGGGGTGGGTTTTCCCATGCACCGCGACCAGTTGTTGATCTATTGTATGTCCCCCTTTGATATTCTACTAGTCGCCATGCCCTTCCAGTACTGGTGCTTGCTATCAGCCCCGTTCAGCCCCTCTACTGGCAGTGGTGTACCCAATACTTCCCCATCTACCAGAGGCATTGGAAACTACTTGGGCGGGAAACTTTTTACCTAATTTTGCTCAGAGGTCCCTAGAGACATGATCTTTTACATGCCGTAAATCAACGACACGGGACCCATGGCTTAAAGTCCCTCCCAGAGGACTTGTTCCCTGAATTTTTCTGCCCTTAAAAATTCCACGACTTCCACCGGGTTTGAACCCGCGTACCTTGAGTCATGAGGTAGGAACGTTACCCTTAGACTATGGAGGCTGCTTTGTGTTGCAGATAGTGAGAGACCTTCATATGCATGAACTCCTGTCTTCTCTCAGTGTGAACTATAAAATTACCACATCAAAGTCTGAACTCCAGAGTCACTCCTTCCCCTTACATTCTATAGTTCCCCATCATGTAATGTCAATTCTTCAATCTAGAGTGGAAGTAACACTCAAGAAGGCCATTCATTCTTATCTGAAATGAGCTATCAAATATCTATCCTCAGTTCTCGTATATAGACATATTGTCACGTCACAGTGACTAAAGATGGGATTCAGATTGGTAATTGGATTTATTGACCAATTACAGGCTGTAACTACAATTAATTATTACACCATTACTGATTTTCACACTAGAAAGCACTCCATGCTAATATCTTCAGTCTGTTTCCCAGTAGTCTTCACGGATTTATAACACAGGAACTAAAGTCTCACTAAATCACACACTTCCAATGCCACTGCACTACAGCACACATTAAGTCTTCAACTCACACGTTAAAATCTTCACAGATTGACTTCATGTACTCTGCTGTACTGCTAGTTCCAATCTGCTCTGAACTTACAACTCACGGAATGGACATGGACCTACAGTAAACACATATCACGTGATCGCTATCCAGCCAGTCTATTGGTGCGTCGGTCGGATCTACAGAAAAAACAGTTTCCTATATCGATGTGTGTTGGACTGTGTTTACAGAGCCGTTGCCTGGCAACGCGTTTATGAAATCCATGACAATTTATTAGACATCATTCATGTTACACATAGTTTTAAAAGACGCATTTTGCCACATGATTGTTATACGTGTGAATTATACAACAGACAGTTATCCGGACAGCTATTGTCAACTGGACCAAAACTATAAATTCAGTAAGGATATAACAACTAACCCGTGTGCAGTCTGCTGTGTAGTTCTTGGCAGCTTAGGCCTACAATAAATTAAGTACTTGTCACAGAAAATGAATAATATATTTTGACTCTGAAAGGAATAAAGTGGATTAAGTGGTAAACAACCAAGTTTTTATTTCTGTTTTATTTATTTAAGATCTTCCCATGATTGTCTGCAGGTGGCGGCAGTAAACACACCACCCCGCGTCAAAAGTAAAGTGCAGCTAGAAAATACAAAGTTGGACAGAAACACACAAGAAAACAGGCCAGTCACTTTAAGTAAAAACTAGGATATTCTGGTTTCACTTTACATTCTTCAATAAATATACACTAGTCATATCTGCATTTATATAATGTCACTTTAAAACACATAAAAGTTAGAAAGCCAACTCATTTTACTGCTATTAATTAGTTTGTTCAAAAAAAAAAAGAGGAAAAAAAAAAGCAGAATGAATATATTGCCAAGACAGTTACAATCAGTGTAGCAGACATACTAAAAAAAAATCAATATTATAAAGCATCACAAAGACTATTCGTTTAGTTTCAAAAGAAGTCTGGGAACTCCTAAAACAGCAATGTAAGAAGCTGGGGCATGGGATCTGCATAGTCATGCAAAAGGAACACTTATGAATAGAAAAAGCAATGTGAAGACATAGACCTCACATTCTGCTGAAGCTCGATAATAGGGAAATGCATGACTGACATGAAGCACTGTCAACAGTTCCCTGCTAATAAATGCTGAGGTTTCTCTTTTAGCAGGTTGTGTATCACACTTGTAAAGTTACTGGTGAGGAGGGATTTAATAGTTGTAGTCGCAACACTGCCTATGAAGGTGATGAGCTTACATTCGTGCCAGTGTGAACAGTGCCATCACCTTGTCTAGGACACACTTTAATACCAATTTAATTCCTAATGGTGGTATACAATACTGTGTGCCACTGATTTTTTCTTTTGCCTTTCACATGTAGTAGTCTTCTTCACTCAGTAATTCTCTCTCCTATTCATCACTTTATACACTGTCATTGTCATCAGTAATTGCACAGCTCCATCAAAAACAAAAATAAAAATGCATATCCATTTCATCTGACAAATTTGTTAAAACCTCCTACATACATAATTGCATCTCGATAGATCAATAAAAATTTATCTACAATTGAGTTCTTTACAAAATGGTACAACAAACTGTAATTTTCATGCCTCTGGCAATATTCTGCCTAACAATGACATCATGGCTAAAGGCTGAAAGATAACAACGGTTGTAATTTTGAACTATACACATCCAACAGTACAACAATTTATTACGTCAATATATATATATATGTGTGTGTATGTGTTTTTCATCTCTCTATATTTATATATATATGTATATAATAACAATGTAAATATATAAAATATTAAAGGATACTTGCCAACTGTAAGAAATAATTACACTGTGCTACTTGCTTTCCAGCAAGAATAACTTATTTTTAAAATATAAAATAAAAAAATTGTAGCACCTACACATAGTTAAAAGTAGTTGGTAGCACTACTGAATAATCCTATTAGGAAAATCATCGGTGCATGGACAGTTAATGACACAAAGTACACACAGAATATATTACTCATCTTGAAAGGATAACACAAGTGAAACTCAATTCACGTCTTGTGACTTTTTTGTAAAGAAAAAAAAATTGCTCTTTACAGAGAACAACAATCCAGGACAAACACTGACAAAGACAGATCTCATTTCCAGGGATGGAATTAACTGCTGGTCTTACATATTTTCCAATTATAGTGTGAGTGTAGCAAAATCAACTAGTCCTAAATACAGTTTATACATTAACACAAATTTGTGGAAAACAAAAATTCAACATTCATTTTGCAACATGGTTTATGTTCTATCATGTAAACCTTTCCATCCCTTGAAACTTCTAGTTATAATGATCAGTAAAGAAGGAAGGAAGAATCACTATTTCCTTATTTTAAGGATAAAATACTGCAATTTGAATCTTGTAACATGTTTTGCATGCTCCATGAGACTTCCATCAGGTAAATATCATTCAATGGCTAACATCAAGTGTATTTTTTTAAATACAGAGTTTTAAGTCATGACTTCACAAATTGTTTTAAAAATGACTTATAAGCTACCTTATTCAATAATTTTTCTTTTCTGTTACTAGAATGCAAGTATGTTAACATGAACCTCTTTCACTGCTCAGTATTCTATGTTTCATTTTAGACCTATATAGGTTCAAGTAACCTAAAACCATAAAATCTGAAATAATGGCAATCCTCAACAAATACCATAACAAAAATTTTCAACGGTTAAACGAATATATTCATAAAACAACTTATTTTCTGGGATCTATTGCTCATTTTGTTCCTGTGGTATGTGTGCCAAAGAGTCCTATAAATCTGTATTTATAACATTCACATACCTTGAAAAATTCATATTTGCAATGGTTTCTTAAAAAGAATCCTCTTTTTACTGTTTGAATACCAGGTGATGGTATTGCCCATTGAAGTTGGTCCCAAAATGGCAGGGCTGGAGCGGCAGCTAGCTGCTTGAGGAGGCAGGGATGGACACAGGATTGTTGGCAGTGTTGACCAAGTTGACTGAATGTGGCATGGTAGATGACCCTGCAATACAAATTCATAGCATTTAATCATGCAGTTGGTTTATGTATAGAACTCAGTGAATCTGGTCCAGGATTAAGAGCCACCTCTAAACTATAGGCAAAACAATGGATAGTAGTTAAGATCTAAAAGTTTGTGATGATGGTAAATTGTTACAATTATTATTTTGCTGGACATTATCCATCATCTTGTCTATTCTAAAAAACCGTCTAGTTTCTATTAAAAAACACAACGTTTCGAGAACTGGAATCTGTCCCCGTCTTCAGGTAAAACCTACTCAGTTGGGTCCAATAGACAGAGCTGGCCCCTATCTCCGGACCTCCTATAGCCCTGATCTGGCACTCTCCGACTACCATCTTTTTGGATTTGTGAAGGATCAGCTGCGTGGGCGTTTTGAGACAAGGGAGGCAATTCAGAAAGCAGTATGTCAGTGTCTTCAGATGGCTGGAACGGAATTTTACAGAAGGGGAATTTTCAAACTCCCAGAACACTGGGAGAGAAATGTGTACAAAGAAGTGGTGATGTGGAAATATAAAGTAAGGTCTGTAGATTGGGTGGTGTATTTGGTTTGTCAATAATAAGGCATGTTACTTTACAAAAAATTGTTGCTCATGACTTTCAGTACGACCCTCAGGTGTGTGTGTATATATATATATCACCTACTTTAACACTCAGAAACTCTGTCTTCTGCCCAGAGAGTATATCTGTGTGTTATATATATATATCACCTACTTTAACACTCAGAAACTCTGTCTTCTGCCCAGAGAGTATATCTGTGTGTTTTGCATAATTCTCAGAATAAAGAGTGAATATTTCCCTACACAGCATTAACTGAATATAACTAGGATATAACACCATGCAATCTGTTGAAAACCAGCATTTCAGAAGAACATATTGCCTCTTCAAAGTCTTAAGTCATAGAAGAAACCAGCACAAAGCAGGCAGCAAGCAGAGTAAAGACAAATCCTACAGCATTAATGAGTTTGTCTTTGTATTGGAGATGCAGTGTGTCTTCTGTGAGGCAGGAACTGAGTGTTTAAATATTACTTGGATGAATTTCAGTCTTCAAACAGTTACGTTTATCTTTAAATATGCCAATAGCAACTCACACATGTAAGGGTTAAAAAGAAAAGACATATGCATTCCTGGACTTGGCCAGAATCACTTCTTCCTCCCTGGGGAAAGAGCATTAGTAACATTGAACAGGAGTATGGAGATACACCATTCTTACATTAACTTCTTTGCTGTGAATTACATGGAAGTAATTCTTCATGTAACCTCATAATTGAACTCTACAACTGTATGAGAAAGCCCACTGACAGATGCAGACACACATGCACAGTACCTAATCTATCACCAGTTAGATATTACATTGCAGACTGGCACAAGTTATGTTTTGTTACATATGCACAATCAGTTCACAACATGGGATTATTGTTTGGGTTCATTCTTCTGTGTGTCAATCAATGTACTTCACAGAACACAGATTTTTTTCAGCAAAAGATTAAAAAAAAAGCATTAAAATATGCTTTAAAGTTTCTGATGCACTTCAGACAGACTTTGTGGGAATAACAATCATCAGAATTGTGAGTCGCTTTGTTTATCTCCTGATTTAGGCCTCTTTGTTCCTTTGTCGCCTACTATTTCTTTCCCCCCCCCTTGGCGCTACAGCCCCAGTGGGCCTAGGCCTACCTCCATGAACTTCTCCATTCACTTCGGTTTTTCTAGATCTTACATATTCGGTAGGACTCCTTGGGTGGGTGATCAGCTCGCCACAAGGCCTCTACCTGTACACAAACACAGAAAAACGCACACACACAAACTAAACATCCATGCCCTGAGTGGAATTCGAACCCACGATCCCGGTTTCCAAGTGAGCAAAGACAGTACATGCCTTAGACCGCTTGGCTACCGTGACCGGCCTATTTCTTTTTAGTTTCTGAATTTATCAAAGAAGAAACACTACTGTCAGAATCAGATACCACTGTATAATTTGTCTGTCATCAGACTGTTCTTAATATTCAATATACCACATGTTTCTAAGCCATGTGATGTACTGTAAGGTGCCATACTGAACTCCACTAAACAGTTAGTTTTAACCGTTCAGCGTGGTTTGATGTGTATGTTTCGTCAGGTATTTAAATCGTCTGCGGGGGTTCGACGTCTATGTTTCGTCCAGCTGCACACCTATGTTATAACGCCCATAATAATTGATGGTTTTGCTGTAGATTGTTAGATTTTTCGCTGGCCTGTTGTCAGAAGAACAGTATTTAATGAGGAACGAGTTTTTCTGCGCTAAGTCATCGTTACATATGCCTGTCTTGCAGCAAAATTCCTGTTGCTCTTGGGAGAGGTTTCGTCATTGAAGCTGTTATGAATGTCGTGTTTTCTTTCCTATGAAGTTATAAACAGCAGAGACGTGATATGTGCTGTGTTTATCATATCATATTGCCCTGAGCTGGCCACACTAACACACTCAATTGGAATTCTTAGAAGAGGGATGTCCAAAAATTTATTCTTGCAAGATCGATTGATTTCGCACAGTACATAGCAGCCAGTTCTTAGAAAAACGTCACGAATTAAGGCAGAACACTGTGGTCACCCCCTATGACGATACTGGTGTGTGTGTGGGGGAAAAGAACTCATTCCTTCATGTATTATCGCTCCAGTTGACGCCATTTTATCGTACTGACCTTGGTGGTCGTTTCGAGGGATGACCATAAATATTTTTTTGAGCCAGCTAAGCTCTGCTTTCGTGCACTACATACCAGCCAGTTCTTAGAATAACTTCATGAATTCTGTGGTCACCCCTACGACATCTACTGCCACCAAAATGAATGGAATATCAAAGGCATAGCAACAACCCCTTGCTATGATAACTCGTAACGTTGAATTTACTACAGCTGACCTGGCAACTAAACGGGTCACGGAAAGACATTTCCTTGAACGTCTACCCCTCACGGGGAAGAAGGCAAGGCCGCACAGAAGATATGTGATTAAAAAAAAGAGCTAAAGAAAAGATACACAATACTGGAGCGGTGAATGTGGGGCAGCGTTGGGTTAGACGAATGCTTCAAGGCCTACATTACACTGCTCAAATTCTAAATCAACTGCTTCCATTGCCGAGATACCGGGCGCTCATATTATAAGGCAAGGTTATAAAACCACCTTTTAAGATCATTTTAGTGAAAGTTTCATGCTTCAAGGCATACCATTCACTGCTCAAATACTAAACAACCTGCTTCCATTGCCGAGATACAGGGCGCTCATATTATAAGGTAAGGTTATAAAACCACCTTTTAAGATCATTTTAGTGAAAGTTTCATGTTCCTATCTCATATAATTTAAGAACAATGATGAATAACTCATTTTCGAGCAAAATTTAAATGGCCGGCTGAATATATTACCGCCGGAGAGACGGCCGCGGAATTTAAATCACCGCGCGAAAGGGTTAAGGCCATAAGATTATCCTTACAACTCTTCTGTGACCCTTTAAATGAAAGACCTAATTTGTGGATTATTAATTAATTAACTAATTCAATTAGTAGGGGGTGGAGTCTAATTGGGTCCACTCAGCACAGCAGCCACTGATTGGCCTATTGTAGCCTGCCCCAGGTGATTATGAGGATAATTTGGTGGAATGAAGATTGGCAGGGGAAACCGAAGTACTCGTAGAAAACCCGCCCCAGTGCCACTTTGTCCACCACAAATCCCACTTGACCAGACCCAGGATTGAACCCAAGCCACCACGGTGAGAAGCCAGTGACTAACTGCTTGAGCTATAGTGCGGCCTATTTTGTGGAGTAAATACAATGTTTTAAGGTCTAATGCTATGGCTAGTTTGAGCTTCCCCTGCAAGATGAGCATACAATAATGATTTTGCTACGACCTTGCACCAAATGAATTCATACTAAGGTTACTCTCAGCAAGACTGTTCAAATACTGTGTGTACATAACTTTACTGCTTCTGGCTTGAGCATTTAATCTGTAATTCTGCATGATGGAAATCTCAGTTTATATTGTAAGAATACTAAGAAAGAAAGTAGTCTTGAAATAAAAAAATAACTGTATTTTGTATCATATAAGTAAAGGTAAAGCAATCCCTGTAACAGGCCATGGAGGACCATAGGTTTGTGAGACGTCGAGGCTCCCACATTTTCTAGACAGTTGGCTCACACATGGTGGTGAGGCTGAGTTGACCCCAGGGCCTGTGGCTGGAAGGATTAGGTAAAAAGTAAAGTAAAGCTATCCCTGTACCAGGCCGTGAAGGCCCATAGGGTTGTTGTGAGACGTTGAGGGTCCCACATTATCTAGACAATCAGCTCAAAGATGGCGGTAACGTTGTCAGCCTTATGCGCTGGCCGCACTTTACTCCCCAGGAAAATTATTTAAATTATTTCCTGGTACTAATTTCTGTTAGGGGCTGAGTAAACCCCAGGGCCTAGCGCGGCTGGAAAGATTAGGTCAACTGAAAAAATCCAATGACCTCATCAGGATTTGAACCTGCGACCTTCCGGCTTGTAGCGTAGCACCTCAACCACTACACTACCGCGTGCCCCGAAGAATTAGGTATATTGAAAAAATCCAGTGATCTTATCGAGAATCAAACTCTTGACCTTCCACCTTGTAGCATACTGCCTTAATCAACTTGTTACTGAATGCCATTGTATCATATACATACTGCTTATATGATAGACTCTTATCTGACAGTTTGATCTGAGTATCAGTTCAATTAGATCCACCTGATGGCTATTTTTGTTTATACCCCCTCTCTGCTCCCATCTGTCAATATAAACTGTAACTGATATGCACCACACAGTTTGGGACACAAAATGTAAACCCGGCTAGACACGACCTCCTCTCATCAATTTACTTTATACTCTTCATGGATAGAACATATTCGTACAAAAACTGCCCATACTTCAAGATGTAATGCATCAGAAACTAGAACGCAATGAATTTACCTGGTGTTGTTGCAGCTGAATCAGTGCCAGAAGCCATTGGACTAGCTGATCCACCTGGAGTCATTGGAGTCAAGCTGTTCTGGGCCATTACCTTTTGGCGAACCTCTCGAATCTTCAACTGCAGACTTGATTTGTTTGGGAAGATATCAACATGGGCAGCCTGAGAAAATAAATAATTTAAAATTTACAGTTTATTAAATTGGCAAAAAAAGAAAAACACTGTTTATTGGATATAGGACCTGGAGGGCCACTGCTGGAAGAACAAATATTTTGTACAAAAAAGTGACTTTTTCAGTCAGCAAGCAAAATCCCACAGATACAATAATGTACAGATATTCTGCTTATGATAACTGTATAATGAAGACTCTTCCTCACTGAGAACAATTATGGCTAAACATTTGCCATTCCTGCATAATTTATTTTTCTGTTAAGTGCTCTTTATTGATTACATAATTTACAGTCTTCTTCCTCACTCAGTATTTTGTTCCTTCTAAGTCACTTTCCTTCCTTAGGGAAATAAGGATTTCTGTTCGCATTTCATTTCAAGAAACTTTATTTTTAAATAGATACTTATGAGTTTATTATAAACTTTAGTTTAATAAAATCAACAAGATATGAACATCATTTTTGGTTTATACCTGGAAGGCGGAAGTGGCTTGTGTGGAAGGAAAGAAACCATGATCACGGAACAGCTGCATGACAAGCTGGCGTCGCTGTTCTAATATTCGGCGATGTCCTTTCTCTTGATCCTTACCCCCAGGTGTCTTAGGTGTGCGGGGAGAGCTTGCTTCTCCACCGTCACTTACCTCTGACCCTGCAGGTCAACATAACAAATTACATCTTTCTAAGAGTAGAAAACCATTGGGTCTTGACAAAAGCATGAATGAATTTTACACTATGTTATTACTAGGGTCCAGATTTTTTGAAAATGCATATGCACATATGCAAATGCATATTTTGAGGGGTTTTGGTCGTTATTGCATATTCTAAACGTAAGAGCATATTTCTGCATATATGTTTGAAATTAAGGATAATTAAGGATGAGACAACTGATTTATGTGGCCGATGCATAGCACATTTCGTAGTTGGTAAGCTACATCCAGAGGAACCTGGCAAATCTCATCTTCTTGCTTGCAAAGTATTAGAGAAAGCCAACCATAGCACAATAGCAAGATTTGTAAATGATTCTCTGCGACTACTGTGGCCATCTGAAACTGAGCATAATTGTTGTAAGGTGCTTGTATTACTCACAGATGGACCTTTCTATATGTTGAAAGCAGCAAAGGCCTTACAAGTATTTTATCCAAATCTTATACACATAACCTGTTTAGCGCACGGATTACACCGTATTGCAGAAAGAATACACACACATTTTCCAACTGTTAATGATATAATTGCAAGTGGGAAAAAACTGTTTCTGAAAGCACCAGCTCATGTCCAGTTCTACAAAGATTGCCTACCTCAGGTTCCTCTGCCACCTGAACCTGTCCTAACTAGGAGGGTGACATGGTTATCAGCAGTTTCATTTTATCAGGAGAATTTCAATTAAGTAAAACAAGTGGTTACAAAACTTTAAGATGAGTATGCATGTGTCCATGAAGTAAAAGTGGTGTTGGGAAGTGATACCGTTTATCATGACATGAATTTTATCCATGCACAATATTATATTTAAGAATCCTGTTACACTCACACAATATATATGAGACAAACTCTGTCTTAAGTGCAACAATAGACACAGGGCGTGTACCCTGAGAAAATTTTAATTTTTAAAAATTTGGAAAAAGAAAAAGAACAGAAAATTTATAGACATTTTAATTTGAATTGAAGCTTTAAAAAAGTGCCAATTTTAGAAATCAAATTGACGCGTGTAGGTTAACAAAGATTTTACACATACATACAATTGGAAAGACTGGTGATTTTAAATTTTAAACTACGGGCAGTATAGCAGCTATGTAAGAATACACACCTGATGATGGCCATTTAGGGCCGAAACATGTAGTGTGGAGGAAGAGAAGAAGAAAGAACTACAATTAAATTGTTGCACTTAAGACGGAGTTTGTCTCATATATATTATCCATGCACATTTTTCTACAGTTTCAAAAGCCACTGAGAGCTTAGAATTTTGTGGTGCACTCCTTCACAACTCACTTCAACTTGTTCAGAAAGCAACTTTTTCACTGAATTCCGCTCCAGGCGAAACTGGACAGACGATTAAATGCAAGTTAGAAATGGTGCTGAATTCAAACCCAGGACTAAAAAAGATTCAGTCAATTAGTCAGTACTTGAGTGGAATTAGGGTATCTTTTCCAGATGAATGTTCCAAACCTTCGGATCCAGTGTACAAATACTGTCCAATCACGTCAGCTGATATAGAAAGATCATTCTCAGCCTATAAACTCATTTTGACGGACAACAGACGCAGTTTGTCTCCAGAAAACACTGAAAGACTTCTAGTTGCCTATTGTGATGCTACTTTCTGCAGTGAATGATACATGTAAATAGGTGAGTCTGAATAGTGGCCTGTTCCTTAAGTGCATATTTTAAGTGTTTTTAGCACATAAAGATCTGGGCCCTAGTTATTATATAATTTCACATATTTGTTCACTGGTAATAGAACTGTTCACCAATGTCAGATTATGGTTATTCTTTTATTTCTGATGGTAAGATAAAATCTTCCTTGTGCTTAATTAAGGAGGAGCCAGGATAGCGCAAAGGGGTTGGAGTTTGAGTCCTGATAGGGGCAAGAATTTTCTCTACTCCATGTTGTCTAGATTGGTTCTGGGGTCCACCCAGCCTCCTATCCAATAGGTATGGGGGGGGGCTCTTTCGTGAGGGGTAAAATGGCTGGGGAGTCACACTGACTCACTCACCTCGGAATGCATCAAGATTGAAATCAGGTCCAAAGAAAGTGCTGCCAATCAGTTTAGCAGATTTTGGTGCTGCTGAAGCAGGTTCAGAATCTGCTTCCTCCTCAGAATCTGAAAGTTAAAAGAAACCTCTGTATCTTTCATTCTATGAAAATAATTTAAGGTAAGGGAATTACAGACCATACCAGTAATCAGACTATACACAGTGAAGTGTTAACACAATACTCTTCTAGGAAATGACAACTTACATTCTTTGTAATTAAATTTTAGTGCACTGAAAGGTGATAGAAATAATCTACGTTTGTTATTTAAAAAAAAAACTGGTTTTGGTCATATGATGACACACTGCATGTTCCTGGTGATATTAGCAAGTAAAAATAAACTGGGTCACAGTATGTTGCCTTACGATGTAAATCACAAAGCAGAATGTGCACTAGCCGATCTGCTGACTTACGATTACAGTTAGTTTTTTACAGAAACCAGTGACTTTCAAACAGCCAACTGCCCATGAGCAGTTCTGACCAGGCATCCATATGCATTGCCAGCTCGCACTCGCCATTCCACAAATTAGTTTTATAAAAACAAATTTTGTTATATTAATCACATTTCTTTTGGCTGGAGCCGAGTTTAACTAACGCTACTATGTTTTCATAATACTGAAATTCATCATACTGGAAATATTTTGTACAGAGAGAATGAAATCTAAGTTTGGATATGCAGAAATGTTATCCTCTTCAGTTTTGGTATGTGACTTCAGAAAGGTTTTCCATTCCTGCTCTATAACTGTGAGCTGGAGGGAACAATGAAAAGATTTTCTTGAAAGTGTATTCATGAAAAATAACTATGGTGTTTCAATCATGGAGAATTTAAAAGGTTGTTAGTACATAGAATTTGTACCAAAGCAAGCCATATATATGCGTGCAGTGTTTTAAAATACATGAGGAGTGAAATTGGAAACATACTTCTGCAGAAATTGCAACAGTATGCTATTATAGCTAATTAGAGTAGTGGAAAATGTAACTGATAAATATATTAAGTACTACTTATTAGTCCAGTACCTCCATTACTGTATAGGCATACATAAAACACAAATCATGTAATGCAGCAAACTGAGATATATGGGACATCTCAGAGAGAAAGTTGTAAGAGAATGAAAAATTTTTCCACCTAAAGTTTATATCTTTTGTGCTAAAAACTGCTGTTTACTTATGAGAAAATCATAAAATGTAATAGGGGACACAATGTTAAAAGGAATGGAAGTTAACATAATCACAAACAATCCAGATCATTACTACTGAATTTCTCTTTTTTCAAAATAATAATCCACTTGACCTTAGACATCATTCTGTACTTTGAGTTAACAGAATATGCTTCCAGGAATCAATAAACATTAAATGGTTTCACTGGCTCTATTACGTGGTGCTAACCAAAAGTTCCTGAAATATACGAGGGTTGGAACTTCAATAGTGGCAACTATTTATTTACAACTGATACAAAATAGATGCATGTTTTGAAGTTTTACTGTCCTTCAATGTAGTCACCAGCATTCAGTTATTCAGTATTGAGGGGGTGGGTTTCCCCATGCACCGCGACTGATAGTCTATTGTACGTCCCCCTTTTAATTTCTACTGTCTCCATCCCCTACCGGTACTGGTGCTTGCTATCAGCCCCTTTCTGCCAGCGAGGTTTCTAACCTCTGCTTGGCAGTGGTATCTAATAGTTAGTCCCTTTCTGTCAGCGAGGTTTCTACCCTCTACTTGGCAGTGGTATCTAACAGTTAGTCCCTTTCTGTCAGCGAGGTCGTCCCTCCTCCGGCAGTGGTACCTAATACTTCCCCATCTACCGGAGGCATTGGAAACTACTTGGGCGGGAAAGTTGCCTAATTTGGCTCAGAGGTCTCCTAGAGACATGAGGTTCTTTTACGTGCCGTAAATCTACGACAGGGGACCCATGCCTTAAAGTCCCGGAGGACTTGTTCCCTGAATTTTTCTGCCCTTAAAAATTCCACGACCTCCGCCGGGTTTGAACCCGCATACCTTGAGTCATGAGGTGGGAACGTTACCCCCTAGACTACGGAGGCCACTTAGTCACCAGCATTGTGGAAGTTGTAGGATATCTTTAGCACCGACTGTTGTGTTGATAGTTCGAATGGGGTGGTCTACTGCCTCAACAATCTCTGGAACAGTTCTGAAGCGAATGCTATGAAGTGGTTCCTTCATCTTAGGAATCAAGTCGAAGTCACAATGGCTTAAGTCCGGGGAGTATGCCTGATGGTACAGCACTTCCCAGCCCCATTGATTGAGCAAATCAGCCACAGCTTGCACTGCATGCGGCCGAGCATTGTCCTAAAAAATGATGGGTGAGTTCTCCAGAAAGTGTTGACGCTTCTTTCTCAAAGCTGGTCGCAGGCTGTGTTCCGGAAATGAACTGTAATACTGCGCATGGACTGTCTGCTGTCAGGGAACGGTATGCATTAGGATAGCACAATCACAGTCGTACATGAGAATCACCATAACTTTCACATTCCTGGGGTTCTGATGAAATTTTGATTTTCGTGGTGCCCCACAACGATGCCATTCGTTTGACTGGCGTTCATTTGTGGCTTGTACAATTTGGCCCATGTCTCATCCAGCATAAGAAAGCCTCTCCTTCACGTTCATAGCACTCCAAGTAGTTACGAGCAGCATCATATCGTAGCCATTTCCTCATTTCTGTCAAATCATGTGGAACCTATTGTGATGCAATTTTTCTCATGCCCAGGAGTTCCTTCAGAATGTGAAACAGTCGTATGCACTAATCCTGTCTCTTGGGCCAGCTCACGAATCGTATGGCGTCGATCACTCTCCAGTAATGCGGAAAGAGCATACACTTCTTCACTGACACTAGGACGACCTGGCCAACGCATGTCTGCCACATTTTGGCGTCCCTTGTCCAAGGCTTTTACCCACCTTGCCACTGTTCCGTAAGGCAATGCAGATTCCCTGCAAGCCTCTTGAAGACCTTGATGACACTGTCGTGCTGTACGGCCTCTGGCACATTCAATCTTTATCAAACTCCGTTGTTGCTATTTCGAAAACATCGTGACAACACTACATTAGACCGCCAGCTAACACGAGGCTCTGTTCTTCTCATCACTGCGCATGTGCGTGATGTGGGAAGGGAGACTCAATTTGCTCTGAGGTAAGGTAGGTATGTAACTAACGTGTGGTATAAGCAACATTATTTGGTTCCGTTGCATGGCGTCTCTACAGCAGTGTTGTCACTATTAAAGTTCCAACCCTAATATTAATAAAAACTATTACGCCTCACCTGGATCTTATTCTGCACCATCACCTTCAAAGTAGTCCCCTCGGGAGCGCATACACCAATCCCAGCATTTCTGCCACTTTTTAAATGCATCCTGGAAGTCTTTCTTTGTTAGGGTGTTTCGTACCGTCTGCGTTTCCACTTGAATTTCCTCAACTGTATCAAATCTTTGCCCCTTCAACTTGATTTTCATCTTGGGGAAGAGAAAGAAGTCGCATGGAGCTAAGTCTGGCGAGTACGGTGGGTGGGGAACAACTGCCATCTTGTTTTTAGCCAAAAATTCCTGCACAATGTAAGCCATATGCGGACGTGCGTTGTCATGGTGGAGTACCCAGTCATTCGTGCACCACTTCTCTGGACGTTTTCACCTCATGTCCTCCCTCAAATGCCTTAGAACACTGCGATAGAACTCTTTATTGACTGTCCGACCAGAAGGCACGAACTCCTTATGACCAATCCCATTAATATCAAAAAAACAGATCAGCAAGGACTTAATGTTGCTCTTGACTTGTCAAGCTTTTTTTTTTGGCAATGAAAGAAGGGCTCTTCCATTGCGACAATTGCTGCTTGCTTTCAGGGTTGTAGCCATAAACCCAACTTTCGTCACCAGTAACAACCTTCAAAAGATAGTTTGGATCCTCTTGAAGCTGTTGTTGAAGTTCCCTGCAGACTTCCAAGTGATGCTGCTTCTGTTCATTTTGCAGCAGTCGTGGCACAAACTTCACTGCAATCCTCCTCATGTTCAGTTCCTCAGACAAAATTTGTTGACAAATACCATAACTTAGCCCCAAGCTGTTACAGAGGTTTTCGATGGTCAGTCTATGATCTTGCAGAATCAGATCCTTAACTTTCGCAACATATTCTGGTGTGGTGCCAGTTGATGGCTATCCCGAACGATAGTCATCATCAGTCGACATTCGGCCATTTTTGAAACGCTTATACCAGTCATAAGTTTGTGTCTGGCCTAAACTGTTGTCACCAAAAGCATGCTTCAACATTTGGTGCGTTTCTGCAGCGGTTTTCCCAAGTTTAAAACAAAACGTTATACAGACACGCTGCTCTCTGAGGTCAGCCATCGCAAAACCGCAAACTCAAGGAAACACAACTCGACGTTGCTTGCCACACTGATTCAAGAAGGGTGTGTTGGGAGACATCTAGTGGTATTTTAATGTACTCATAAAAATTCGCTCGCAAAATTCTAATTTCGGGAACTTTTTGATACACCATGTATCAGTCAACCGATTACATCCTTTTTTGGTTGGTTATTTAATGCCACTACCTGTATTGAGATTACATACATAATTATATATATCTGTAGTCAGTAATTTTGGGAAAAGGTTAGTTAGTTAGTTAGTTAGTTAGTTAGTTAATTGGAGAGGGTGGGTTTCCCCAATGCACTTAAGACCTATATTGGTCCATTGTGCTTCCCTCTATGATTTCTACCAGTCTCTATATCCTACCGGTACTGGTGCTTACCATCAGTCCCGCCCAGCCAGCGAGACCGGCTCTACTAGCTGAGAGGTATCTATAATGCTTCCCCCATCTACCAGAGGTATTAGAGACTGCTGTTGGGCGGGAAAGGTCCGTAATTTGGCTCAGTGACCTCCTTTGGAGATATGAGTTTCTTTTACGTGCCGTAATGCTACGACACGGGACCCATGGCTTAAAGTCCCTCCCGGAGGACTTGTTCCCTGAATTTTTCTGCCCTTAAAAATTCGACAACCTCCGCCAGGTATTTGAACCCGCGTACTACGAGTCATGAGGTGGGAACGTTACCTCTACACTACGGAGGCCGCTTTGGGAAAAGGTTACTAAATCCTTTTCTGAATCCTCAGAATTAACTTTCTACATAAACTAATATCTGCAAATTAAAGTTTTCTTCAACAAAGCCAACAAACTATTCCAAACAATAATGCAGAAGATGAAAGGTTTCTAAGTATAATACACTTTTTCAAAGAAAGTGGAAAGAACACAAATTTGTATGTCTATGCAAACACCATGCAGTGATGCGATAATATCATATATCTGTAGATATATGTAAAGTGAACTCTCAAGTCTCTCTGATAACGGAGAGGAAATGTAGGAAGGATAACTACAAACAATGGATAATCCAAAAATCTTGAGGTACCCATTACTGATGCTGCATTCAACCTGAAAAAATCACATAAACACTTCAACATCGGCAAGTCAATTGGTTGTGCTGCTGGTTACTGAATAGTAAAACAAATATCTTTCCTACAGCAGAAACCAACCCTTAGGCCAATGTCAAAAGCAGTGAAATAATAATTCTGTAAGTTTCAACAGGGCAAGACGGTGTACAATCTAATGCAAATCATTGCAAAGCATCACTGATTTCTAAAACACACATATTAGGAAACACTTAACACAACAGGCAGCTACAGTCAATAATAAAGGGGATCTGAAAGTTATGGAGTTAATCTGTACAGGGATAATCAAGAGATTACTGTATGTAGAAAAGGAAATGAATTAAGAATGCTTACTGGCTGGTCTGGGTGGCTTCTTGCGATAATTCTGGACAAACACTACGCGAGGACTTGATGGCACAGAGATTGCAATTGGTGACCGACACTCCTGGGGATTGAATTCAGGCAAGGAGGAGAACTTCTTTTCAAAATTAACAGTTTCCAAAACCCTGAAAGCACATAAACACATTGCTAGCAGCAGTATGAAAAGAATGCAGACTCCCTTATATATATTTGAGCTCAAGAATGTGAGCAGTTCATAAATGAAACAATGTGTATATTTGCAACACAATGCCAACAAAAGAGGACACAAAAACCAACTAGTTTAATGGAACACGACAGTATTAGTCAGATAATGTTCGTACATTTTATTCATTAAAAATATGGTGTCTTTTAAACAGCACAAAGTATCTACAAAGAGTTACAAATGTTGTTTTGAACAAAATAAAACTGGAACTAATTTATATGAAAAATGACAAGACATCTGCTTTGAATCCTTAACTTTTAATATGAATACAATGAAATAGGAAACTTATACATTTTCTTAGAATGAGGTTATAGTTACAATAATAATTTGCAACACACCTTCAAAAAACAACTCCTCATGTCAGAATCAAATTTTCAAGAAAAAATATCCAGAAAAAGTAAACTGTAAGGAAGCAAAATCAGCCACTTCAATACACTTTTAATGTGTAATAGTCAATGATGACAGCATGTCACATGAAAGTTTAGTATTGATACAACTTTTGCAAATCCAGAAATTTTTACTGTCTGTCACACTGAAAATTATGATTTCAAATGCACTGATATAGGCATGTTGTAAGGGAGTCTGGTTTCTGCTTAGTCTACTGAAATATTTCGATACATAGATATAAATGCATCCCATACAACAGCACGGACAGCAGAGTGCTCAAACAAGTTCACGTAGAGGCTATGTCTATCTGTGAACCAGTATCAGGTTCCAAACAGTTGGACAGATTTTATTTAAATTCAGTGTGGAAGACTTTACTAAAAATTGTCATGCAATTCCGATTTTCAGCCATACTGATCGAAAATAAAACCTGGTTTCCATTAAATCATAAATGTAGATTCCACTTATCTTGTAAACAGTTTCAATAGATTCTGTGGAAATTCAATATGCAAGACTTCCACAAAAACTTGTAGGGCAACTTCCATTTTCTTTTATATTGCTCTATTATAAAGCCTTATTCACAGGAGCCCATAAATGCTATTTTCATGTATTCCACAAACTCTGCTACAGATTTTTTGACTTTCAATAATATTTGTTTCATTATTTCCATTTTCAATCAAGCTTAATAAACCTAAAAAACACCACTGGTATTTTTTTTTGTACTTGGAGTACAGCCTTTCTAATCTCATTACACAATCACTGGATCATTCAAGTATCATTACATACAATTATGGATGTAGGATAATAATTTCCAACTATGACATACTCAAGTCAAACAGCTTAAAAACAAAACAACCTTTTAACAGTTCCACAGAACACACAAGTTGGAAATCGTTTTGCCTGTGTACAAACAGTATCAGCAGGACACATTATTTCAAAACAGTGATATAATTAGTGAAAATGTAGTTGTAATGGCCCTTACAGAACCATGAAAAATTAACCAGCGCTGGACCAACACTGTCTCTCAGATCTGGTTGGCCATTCTACCCAAACAGCAATAAAAAATCTGCAAGACATTTTGAATTTCATTATTAGATTGTGCTATTATTTCATCTTGCCATCAACAGATGACAGCCTTATGCTCTTCTATGGTCTTTTTCTTTTGATCAAAGTATGCATTTTAGTTAGTGACACACCGAAGATTTAAGATAGCACAGCAATGGAACATAACGGCCTTGCTATCATAAACTCATAGTTGCAAGGCCAGGCAAGCAGGCACGGAGGGTGCCATTTAAAGAAGTCTTCAGGGGGTTAAAAGCAGAATCACAAAATGATTAAATTCTTCTTTACTTTACACTACACTGTAAAGTTACAGACTTAGTTTCATTCAGGTACATGTTAAGTTTGCATATGCTATATTTTCCATATCTTTGGAGAGAGATTTCAAGGACCTAACCAATCACTAACAGGAACTGCAGTTATCTGTAACTATAATCTCTTGAACTATCAGAGATTCTTCTGGCTCCTGTTACTAGACGTCCCCAGTAAAATGACATACCTATCCATACCATCTTCTACATTCTTCTTGAAGAAGCTCTTCCTAGTTGAGGGAGAAGAAGGAACTGGAGCTTGCTGTTGACTACCGTTACTGCAACTACCACCTTCTGACCTTGACTCATCCTCTCCTCCACCTCCAGAGCCAGAACTACTTGAGCTAGCACATGTGGTACCTCCAACACTCTGGGTCATAACTATGCTCTCACTGCTAGAGTTGATGACACATGTGGAAACAGCTGCAAGCAAAGAAAACCAAGTAACTTAAACTGGAATTTCTTTTTTGAAAATTCTGTCTGTTATTTAACAATACACTGTAGATGCTAAATGGAAGGCCGACTGTCAAAGACTGGGAAAAAGCAACTGTTGCCTGTTTTAAGTTACTATCAAATTTAATGTAGTTATGAAATGTGGATACCTTCAACATTACATTGGCAGAATTTTAACTACAAGTTCATATTTTCAATTGTAAACTTCCAATGTTTTATTACTCAGTTTTCTGGAACGAAAACAGGGCCAATTAAATGCACTTGTACTGTAGCATCTGGCCAGGTTAGGTAATACAAGGCTGTTTTGAATTATTAGGTACCAATTCATCTGAATCGTTGTCAACCACCTCCAGCAAAAGCTTGGGTACCTCCCAGATACACACAGTATACCTTATCACTTCTCTAAACATTCTTGATCCCTGAGGACGGCGGATATGTGAGGGAAAAGAACAGGTGAAATTAAAGGGTGATTAATATTTCATTGGCTACTTGTGGGTTATCTGCAGTTTCTTCACTTCTGAACCTTGTACTAAGCTACAATAATAACATGAAATGTATTTGTTCTGTTTTTATTAACCCTTGCCCATACCATTCAAACCCACTTTATACTGACACTCTCAAAGCAGTTAATTTAAGACCTTCATGCATTACATTTAAGTGTGATAAGCATGGGAGAGGATAAATGATATAAACTCCGTCCCAAGTGCAAACAATATATTATATATCCTTGATCTTGCTCTCCTTTACACTACATGTTTCGGCCTCAAATGGCCATCAACAGGTGTATACACTCACGTTGCTGTTACACTGCACTTAGTTTAAAATTTAACATTTAAAAATACACTGTTCTTTTCCTTGTTATTATCAACATCTACTTCGTTGATATCTGTCTGGTTTATTGATTATAGATTATAGTGCTACTACAGGGAAATCAAAATTAACGTGTGTAAAATAATCTATAAACGAGACAGATATCAACAAAGTAGATGTTGATAATAAAAAGGAAAAGAACAATGTGTTTTTAAATGTTAAATTTTAAACTAAGTGCAGTGTAACAGCAACGTGAGTGTATACACTTGATGATGGCCGTTTGAGGCCGAATCATGTAGTGTAAAGGAGAGCAAGATCAAGGACATATAATATATTGTTTGCACTTGGGACGGAGTTTATATCATTTATCGTGCAACAGGATGCTTAAATATAATATGGGAGAGGATACATATTATATTGTTTTATATGGCAAATAAAAACATTAATTTTAAATGCAATTATTTTGTTTAAAATATTTAAATGTTTTGAGTATTTCAGCTCTGCACCAAAGGATATGGCAAATATACAAACCCATGGATTGTCTACGTTGTAGGGGTGCTCTGCCCAACTGAGCTGGAGTAGGGGCCAGGATGAAAGTTTGGTTTTCCTCTACAGCATGATCATTTTGTGAGGCAGATGAAGAGGGAATTGGTGATTCAATCACAGAATAACTGTCACCTCGAGAAGGGGATGCAGGACGAGGATTGCGTGGAGATGCCTCCACATTCTGAAAATGCAAACAAATACAATATGTGTATATGAGTATGTACACATGAATGCACAGGCATGCTTGCCAACAAACATGCACATTATTAGCTTGGTACTTTTAGCAACTACAATGAACTGGATGTGTAACTTGAACTTTCAGTGTATCTTGTACCAAACTGTTGACTAATGAACCAAAATGGTGGGGAGGCCTGTGAAAGCTTCAAGCATTAAATTTCAAATGTGTAAGTTAAAGTTTTAAAACTTAATCCAAAACTTACCTGAAGTGTGTAATCTATTATTTCTTTGGGTTATTTAATTACACTTTTCTAGTATCAGATAATAGGATGATAGATGAACTGGAAAGGATTTGGAAGGAAGTAGTCATGGCCCGATTGAGGTATACTATGGAAGTTGCCTGGAGGGACTGAGGGAAGCCATGAAAAACCTCAGTCAGGATAGCCAGTGTCCCACTCAAGACTGGAACCCAGCATCTCCCCAGTACAAGTCTAGAGTATTTCCTGTCTATATTCTGACATTTACTCCCACTACTGTACATAAAAGGGAAAATCTGTAGACTGAAGTAGCTGAAGTGTTCCAATGTGCATGTTATGAAACTTCAGTATATTTGATGAATAATAATGTTTAATATTATCAATTTGACAATACACATTGAATCAATCTCTTTTAAACCTTCAGGTTCTCTGTTGGAATCCCAAAAATCTTAAAATAAAAACAAGAAGTTCTGGGAGGAACTACTGCCCACTTTCCGCGATACAATATGAACTGCACAGAAAATGATGTGTCCAACAATTCTTCTATTATTGCATGTGTATTCAATGACATGGTAATGCTGTTATCGAGCCGCTGCCTAGCAATGATGGGGGGCATTTACCAAGCCACTGCCTAGCACTGAGAAGAGGATACACATATATACACACACACACTCTGATGGGTGGGATTTATGAAATACACCACTGAGATGGTCTCAGGTGTCATGACATACATGAGTGACTATAGACAGGGTTTGGAATAGTAATTGGATTTACTGAACACTTACAGAAATACGAATAACTACGGCAGTCTCACTGAGTTACACACTCCAAAGATCACTATAACCACAGCAAACATAAAGTCTTCTCAGTCTGCTATGGTGACTGATCCCAATATTCTCTTCTTGTGCTCACATTCTTATCAGCTGGCAAATGTCTCACAAGTAACTGACTGCTCCAGCTGTCATACCCTTAACTGACTGCCTCTCACTAACTGTCCTGCTTATAAACTCCAGGCATGGAGTGCAAAGAAAACACTGTTCCACTGTTGCCCTGCAAACATGCTGGTTTGTGAAGCCATTACTCAGTAACAGCTGTTGTAAATTTGCTTGTGTTGCTGTCACTGCCTAGCAACAGATCTCCAAGTCACAATACCAAGCTTCATAAGAGAGAGGTTCAGCAATACAAAAGTTGATAGTGGGGATACAGAGACACACAGATCGAAAAGAGATCGAAAAGCCTACTTCAATTTTTCAAAATAAGAACAGCACACTAATGACAATGGTGGTTTGTCATCCGTCAACCAAATCCAATCTTCAGAAAATCATATTCCAGTTGAGAGCACCAGTTGCAAAATTCAAACAAAATATATATGGACAAATACCGTCTTAAGTGCAACAATTTTATTGTAGTTTTTACTTCTTTTTCCTCCTCCACACTACATGTTTCGGCCCTAAATGGCCATCATCAGGTGTGTATCACTCACGTAACTGTTACACTGCTTGTTAAAATTGTAAAAATCCCAGTCTTTCTAATTGTATAAAATCTTTGTTAATCTACACGCGTCGATTT